ATGCTTAAACTGAGCTGGCAACATCCTGAATTCTTTTTGATTAACAAATAATCTGCTTTGAGGTAAAGGCTAGACTGGAACTTAGTGATAGTGAAGAGAAATGAACAGAATTCAAAAATTGACTTCCAGAAACTTAAAACATCAGAGGAAACAATGTTCATCAATAGCCATCAGGAAATTATGGAAGCCTCATTATACTGCAAAATATTTCACAAAATCCTAAAATATAACCATCATGCCTAGGTTTTCATAATAAATATAATTCTCAGCTTTGGTTTGTGGGACTCCTTGAAAGAAAAACAAGTACAAATGATAAACCCAGGGCTGTTTTCTCAGGACTGGACCTGGTCTGGACCAGGATTATTCTACCCAGACCTTTGTTCTGAGAGTTAAAAATTCCAAGAATTTTTTTAATATAATTGGAATTATTTCCACTTTGGGATTCTATTGTTGTTCCTTAAATGCCAAAGTCACCTTTTAACATCTACACTTTTCTGAATGACACAGGTTCATCAAATGCTAGGATCAGAATGGACTTGCATCATGGCCTTATTAAGATATCTCTGCAAATGTTTTAGCATCCTAAAACTTACTAGTCAGCTAATGAGAAATCCTTCCTGTCCAGAGGTTACTCGCCTGCATAGGTTCTTTGTTACGATGTTACATTGGAGCATAAAGTTTTTTATGCAAAACGACTAGTCTAGTATGCAAAGAAGGATTAAACTTTGAAATCCAGTTGTCAAATCCTATCATATTTTTTTTAACAAATCAATGATTAATCCATTTGTCATTCAGCAAAAGTTGAGTAATTTTTATGTGCCAGGCCACATTCTAAGCAGAACACTCAGCTAAGTGATCTGTGCACCGATACACAGCTCAGTATGATAATTGTCATACCAACATCTGCGTTTGTAGATTCTCAGTCTAGTGCTCTTTCCACTGGACACATTCCAGACAAATTCTCTAGTTCTTTTAGGCCCCATTACTCTTTCAGACCAATTTTCTACTTAAGAGAAACATTGAACAGAAACCCCACCCTTCTGTGTGAAGACTACAAACATATGCATCAAAATAGAATAACGGACAGGGTATATGATTTACAGGCTAGTTTTACAGCCTTGAGCCTCAGAGATCTTAGAGCACAAGCTAGCTGGAAGTATGCCCTGACACCCTACCACGTATAACTGGGCAGTCTTTACCCAAACACTAATATATCTTTTTGCCTGTATCAGTTTCCTTTCAAATACCAAATTCCAAATACCCATATGTAAGAAGCATCAGAATTCCTAATAATCCTGTAGCCAGCTAGCCTCCTTACATTCTCCCAAAAATTCATTTTGAGGTTAATGCCACTTTTTTTTTTAATTTTTTTTTTCAACGTTTATTTATTTTTGGGACAGAGAGAGACAGAGCATGAACGGGGGAGGGGCAGAGAGAGAGGGAGACACAGAATCGGAAACAGAGGTTAATGCCACTTTTAATTAACCTCTCTGAAAACCAGGAACTTTCAGAGATCAAAATTCCTATTAGGATAACCATCTTTATCTGTGCAATTGATAATTACCCACTGCTATCCCTAAGAGGGGTAAATATAAATGTACTTAGAAAGAAATGAGATGAGCATTTATATTGCCATATGAAAAATGTCCTTGTTACTTTATAGTCACACTTAGCATAGCATAATTCTTTTTTTTTTTTTTAATTTTTTTTTTCAACGTTTATTTATTTTTGGGACAGAGAGAGACAGAGCATGAACGGGGGAGGAGCAGAGAGGGAGACACAGAATCGGAAACAGGCTCCAGGCTCCGAGCCATCAGCCCAGAGCCTGATGCGGGGCTCGAACTCACGGACCGCGAGATCGTGACCTGGCTGAAGTCGGACGCTCAACCGACTGCGCCACCCAGGCGCCCCTTAGCATAGCATAATTCTTAAGGGAATCCTTAGAGATGATGCCAGAGATATAGCTGTGGACACAGTGCCCAGGGTTATTTCACCATCTGGGAACCAAGTGCCCCAAAGCTTTGTATTAACATGCATGAAGGGTACCAGAGGTATGATTAGTTATAAATTTGGGCCAGAATGTAAATTCTGCCAGACTGCAGCATTTAGCTCATCTAGCTCAAAGGAGAAACATGAGGGACGTTAAGAGAAAAAGATTGAAACAAAATTCTAAAAGTCTCTTATACCAATAGATACTGAGGTTGAAAAAGCATCAGTAACAGCAAATAGCCATGGGCACAGGGGCACTCTGAACCCACAGAATAAGAAATAATTTGCATGTGGGACAGGAAAAAAAAGATAGAGACCAGTATCTTTAATACCACTATATTCCTGACTTCATGGATGATAGGTATTTTGTTGTTTGTATATCAAGAGCGCATGCCATTTATTTCATTTGCAATGTGGGATTCAGCACCCAAGTCATTTCCACAAGCTCAGGGTCTTGAGCAGAAGTCTTCAATCACCATTTTCAATTAATAAAGCTTGAACTTTGAGGATATGAGGAGAACATCTGTCATAAATGCTAAATATAAGTGGAAAGTCTATATAATTTTTCTTAAAAGATACTGTGACTGCCTTTAAAGCCTCAAGTATTTATTTATTAAGTCAGAATACTAAATCATAAGTAAATAAATTACCATCTGTCATCTTTTTTTAAAACAAATGGACTATCCATGTTATAAGGGCATATAATAAATTGTGTCATATAACCAGAAATTTTTCTTAAGTGTTACATTTGAACTTCATCATGTACAAGTGTGGAGAATTTTATGTGTATTGTGAGTGTCAAAATATCACATTATATTTATAAAGCTTTATCATCTCTCTGAACTACTTTACACCCATCTTTACAGAATAATAGAATGTTCACCTTAATAAGGGACCCTTAATAACTACTTAGTCTTAGACGTAGTATAAGAATATAGATCATTTTTTCCTACTTATCTCCTTGATTCCAAGTTTACTCTGGGAAGTGGAAAATAGAGAATATCAGATCCTGTGGATCCACACACAGACCTCTGGGTCGTGTGTAATGATTTTCCACCTCTGTCCACAACCTAATCATGAGAAACATAGAAACTTTCGGGGGGAGTGGGGTGGAGTGAGTTCATTCCTTATCTGTCTAGTTTTTTTTTTCCCCTTTCTACTTGATTTAATTTCCTTTTAGTTTTAAAACAAGTCCTGTCATCTCAGCACATTTTCCAGAAAGAAATCTTTGTAATAACTTTAAGTGAACAAATTGTTCTGACATGATAAAAACAAGAAAGAAAAGACATTAGAAGAAACAGTGTTAAAAGATGACAAAATCCATAAAATCCAACTCACATTCCCAAATAACATTTTCATGAGCAATGCTGCTGCTCCCTATCACTTACTTGCCCTCCTTTATACTCAAACCTGGCTTTGCCTTGATAACTTTGTGTAGAGTTTCAGGAGAATTAAGAGGTTTCTAAAAAAGACATTTTCATGTTGGAAATATAAATCAATGGGCAGTGCTGTAAAATGTCATTAGATAGCCTGTATGATGAGGTCTGTGAAGACAGCACCAAATTTGACAATGGGAAGGTCATTAATGATATTTTCTAGAAAAGAATCAGTGGGGTGATAGAGGCACACAATTATAAGAGATGAAGAAGGGTAGACTTTTCTGTCTAAGAAGGAAAAAAGAAAGGCTGGAGATAGGTAGAAATAAAGGAGAGGCTAGGGTCAAGAAGGTTTTTTGTTTGTTTTATTTCTGAGTAGAAGTGACATAGGGAAAGAAGTCTGTAGAGAATGAGATATCAGAAATCCAAAAGACTAAGTAACAAATTAAAAAGTGAATAATTGATTAAACACTGCAGAAAAGAGAAGGGCATAGTGAGGGTGCTTGGTGTGACCTTTATCATTACAAATTAATAAATCTCTCTGTGCATTTTGCTAATACAAATATTCCCTTGAAATATAAACCTGTTTGTGTACTAGTAAGTCATGTCTGAGAGCTTACAAAACTGATTTCTGACATTAATAAATTCACCTCTCAAAGAAGTCTTTTGGGAGACAACTGCCATCCTTTCTAAGACATAATGCATACTATTCAGCTCTTTTATCTTCCCTTCCTTCCTTCCTTCCTTCCTTCCTTCCTTCCTTCCTTCCTTCCTTCCTTCCTTCCTTCCTTCCTTCCTTC